GAGGAGAAGCCAAGTGGAAGGGAGCCCCATTCTTAGAAAGAAAGTGGGACAATGCTACCTTCCACACCGGAAGCCCCCTGAACTCTGGACCCGCTTGCCAGTCTCCCAGGGGACACGCTGCTTTCAGTCTCGGATGGACTCCAAGGATTCCTGTGTGAAACAGAATTGCAGGGCCAGGGCGGCCCTTCGGCTGCTTCTGTCTCCTGTTTGGTCGCCGTCTCTCCGGCGAATGCCCTCACAGGAGGGGCCACCAGCTCTCAGCTGGTCATTTCCGAAACCCCAGCTCCACCGTCTCCTTGACTAACACTTCCCTCTTCCCCTTTCCTGTTCCAGACCCTCACTTTCTGAACAACAAGGAAATGTCCGATGTCACCTTCCTGGTGGAAGGCAGGCCATTTTACGCCCACAAAGTGCTGCTGTTCACGGCCTCTCCCAGGTGCGTATCCGCAGGTCGGCCTCTGAGCTGTCACTGGGGCTGGGCCTGCGGCTGTGTCTCGGCACTCAGTCTTGGTGGGACTTTTCACTGGACTGCTGGTGGGTCACCATCCAAAATAAGCATTTCAGGGCTCAGGGCAGCCACACACCTGAAAAGCGGCACCTAAGTGTGAGTTCGAGTGAGCCCCGCTCCCCTCCCCTGGGCTGATCTGACAGAGCCGTCTCCGCAGCCCGGCTTCATAGGCAGAGCTTGGGTTGGATTCCTGCATTCTTAACCAGGTACCCTCCTGCCGTGAACTGCAGCCTGGAAAGACGTGGACATCTGAATATTAGGGAGCAGACCTTGGTATCCACCACTCTACATAACCAGGCCTTGAACCCCGCTTTCCGACAGGGACGTCACACCCGCAGTCAGCAGTGCCACCGAGGGACAAACTCGCTGCCATCGAGTCGAGTCTGACTCATAGCCACCCCCCTGCAGGACAGAGAGAACTGCCCTGTGGGTTTCAGAGACTGGAACTCTTTATGAGTGTAGAGAGCCTTGGAGCAGCTGGTGGTTTCGAACTGCTGACCTTGCAGTTAGCAGCTCAACGTGCAACCCTCTGTGCCACAGAAATTGCTCACTTTCCCTGCCAGCTCTCTTCTTTGGATTCGAGTTGAGATTCAGTTGATACATGGTCCAAATGCCCAAGTCCCCCACATCAGCCAAGCTAGACAGAAGAGGGAATAGTCATGGATGGGGCTGAGGCAGAGGCTGTCGGCCAAGGGGTGGGCAGAGTGGGCCTGCGCTGGGGGAGGACTTGCAGGGGGGTTTTGAAGGGAAAAGGCCTGGCACTCATATCCTGGGCTCCCGAAAGCATCTTAACATCTGTAATGCAACACACACACCCCCCACCCGAACAAGCAAACTGCAAACTGCAGCGGTAGACATCCCAGGAAAATCCACTGTCCCAGCATAACCATCAGTTGCAACACCCTAGACAAACCAGAGTTCCTCCATTCTCAATAAGTCCAGCAAGCTGAGGATTTGGAAAATCTGTTCCACAATTTCCCCCTCTCGATCAGGCTTCCACTTTGGATGTCTTGATCAAAACATTCAGTCATGGCGGCTGGGTGGCATCGAGTTAGAAACCCCTGTCCTGACGGAGTCACGGTGGTGTGAGAAAGGTGAGCGCCATGGAGACCGGTGTGGATGAGGCCATGGTGGCATCGCCCAGGAGGAAAGCCCCAGGAAGGGGACAGTCTCTGTGACGGAGCCTGAGAGGCAGACAAGGGGTTAAAAGAGCCACCGGTTTGAGAAGCCACTGCACAGTGCAAAACAATGCTTCGGCCTTTAGAGTTTTCTCTGCAAAAGCGATGTGCTTGGACCAACTCCGTGAGGAGCATGCCCCTCCGGAAATCACCCGTCAGAAACCAGAAGGACAACATGTGTCCAAATACGAAAACTCAAAAGGCAGAACGGGGAAGGGTGGACGGACAAATGGGAAAGGGGAGCCCAGGGGGAAGGGGCATGGTGTTACAATGAAGGATCGCAGCCATTGTCACCAGTCAAAAGGGGGAGCGGGGCAAAGTGCTGAAGAAAACACAAATGTCCTCTATAGATTCTCACCCAGAGCCCATGAAAATGTTCAAAATCAACATTTTAAAAAAACCGTACCAAAGAAAAGAATGATCAGGATACCTGAAGAATAGCATTTCTGTACACCACCTCGCCAGCCTTGACCTCCGATTCTAAACCCTCCGTGTTCTCTCCTGACCGTCCCTGTGCCTGCGCCTGTGGTTGGGTGCCGAGGCTGGAGGACGTGAAGAGAGATCCCAGAGCTCACGGGACCCGAGCTGGCGCTCACCCGAAAGGGATATGTATCACCTGTCTGCTGCTTGCATAGTACGCTCTGTTAACGTCATGAATCTGGTTGACAGAAACGAAATACGCAAATAGACTAATGTCTGAGACAAGAGGCCTTTTTAAAAAAATAAGGATTCTAAGTATATAGCGTGGCTGTTTCTGAGTGGTGGGAACAAGTATTTTACTTCTCTACCATCAGCTAAGACTTCTGCCAATGTGTGTGTGTGTGTGTGTGTGTGTGTGTGTGTCTTATCTCCATGTATAGATGTGTATTCGGCTGGGTGGTCTACAGAAACAGATCCAGTAACACTCCTCTATGTATAGGAAAGAGCTTTATATCAAGAAGTAATGATATATTATGAAGGCATCCCAGCCCAGTTCAATCTAGGTCCATAGGTCTCATGCCTGTCTGTAAGGCCCCCTTCAGACTCACATAGCCACATGCCAGTGGTGCAGAAAGGTGAGACAGGATGCAGGAAGATCACAGGCCGGTGAGTCGTATGGATCCAGCGTCGTTGGAAACATGGCAGGATGCCCCAAAGCTCTTCAGGATGCCCAAAGTGGCAGTGTCCCAGTAAGCAGGAAGGTGAAGGGCAGAGAGAGGGGGAGGTTCCTAGCCTCCCCACCTGCTTTAAGGAGGCCACACATCCCAGGAGGTGTCACCAAGCTGTGACCTGATTGACAGGTTGGATTCCACCCCTGCACTTTCCTACATCTTCACGTTGGCATAAAATCAACTAACTACCGCCGTGTGTGTGTCTTTTACCCCCACCATGTGTGTTCGTACGCAGGTTCAAAGCCCTCCTCTCCAGCAAGCCGACAAATGACAGCACCTGTATAGAGATTGGCTACGTGAAGTACCCCATCTTTCAGGTAAGCCTCTGGTCTTCAACCTGTGACTTAGCTGCTTGGGGGATGGCCCTGCAGCCAGTTCTCCATTTCCCTGCACGCCTGGGTCCCTCTTCACACTGCCCCTTGCACCGCCCACCCGTGCCCGCACACTCTCCATACTGATAGAACATCTCCCAGGTCCCAACCCTGTGCTTAGGGCTGGGGACAAAAAGGACACCGGATGGCCTACTCTGGAGACTTACAGTCCACAGGGGCCACCCCAGAGGAACAAGTCAGTTATGATAGCAGAGGGAACAGCCCACTCAGGCCAGGGAAATCAAGAACGCCTCAGGAGAGTAAGAGGTGGGATGAGGTGTAACCCACTGAGGAGAAGCTGGCCAGCCAATGGCGGGCGGAGGGTGTAAGGAAAGGAGTGAAGACATTCTAAGCAGAGCCAGCACACACAGAGGCCTGGGTCTGTGGTAAACCCAAGAGGAGCAGGAGCCTTTGTGCTTTTAGAGAACCCAAACTCACTGTTTTTTAGTGCTGTAAGAAATCCACCGATGGCACACCTTTGAGCGATTCAGCATTTTTCGCACATATGATTCGATGACCAGTGACATCCATTGTGTTGTGCAACAATCACCCATGCCTGTTGCCAAATTCTCCATCACTGGGAACAGAAACCCACTGCTTCCCAAACATTGATTCTCCCTGAGTTAGGCTGGGGTCTCCTAGAGATGACGCTTACATACATGTGGGGGAAAAAAGAGAAATTTGCATCAAGAAAGTGGTTCACGCAGCTGTGGAAGTGGGTGTGCCCAGTCTGGTTCAAGTGCATGAGTCAGACGCTAAGCTGGAGCTTTTCCCCACTCACATAGCTGCCAGGACTGAAGATCCGGTAGCATAAAGACCAGGGGCTGGTGCAGGCCTGCTGGTGAGTCCATGCTGCAGCCTGGAATGAATTCAGAGTCGGCAGGCACTATGGCTTGCCGCTGACAGCTCCCAAGGTTGGCAAGCAATATGGCAAACTGTTGGCTAAATTCTGAAAAAAAGGAAGTCAGTGAGATAGCTATAGGATTCAGGCCAGCAAGAGAAGACAAGCCTTTCCCACGGCATCTTAAATAGGAGTAGACCACACCCCCAAGGACACTTCCTTTCCCTTGCATCCGGGCTGTGACTTGACTGGCATTCCTCCTAATCCCAGCAGATTCCCATCATGTCGTGGGCTACATGATGAGGGAACCTCTGAGTGGATTACCAGACCTCATCTGCCAAACCACTGAGGGTCCTGGCCAAGTCAAGTTGACACAAAACCCAACTCTCACACTCCCCTTCCCCCTCCCACCACCCCTGGTAACACTCTATTCCAGTGGATCTCCACCTTCTTAATGCCGAAACCCTTTCATACAGTTCCTCGTGTTGTGGTGACCCCCCAGCCATAATTTTGCTACTGTTATGAATCAGGCGACCCTTGTGAAAGGGTCGTTCGACCCCTAAAGGGGTTGCCACCCACAGGTTGGGAACCACTGCCCTGTGCATTTGCCTAGTTAGTAAGTATTTTGTCTTGGTGAAATCTATAATGCTTGCCCTTTCGTGGTTGGCTTTCCTCGCTCATCCTAATACGTCCAAGGCACATCCTTGCTGTAGCATGTATCAGGACTTCTCATAGGTAGGACCACGTAGTACTCCGTTGTAAGGACAGGCCCTCTGGTGTCTCTCCATTCATCTGTTGGTGGCCATGTGGGTTGTTTCCATCTCTGGGCTATTGGGAATCATGCTGCAGTGAACATGGTGGTGCATGTACCTGCTTCCCAGGCCTCTGGGCATTGACACTGATCCCCCAGATCTTGATTTTAGAGCCCTGCCAAGAAGGTACCCTTGCCCTTGTACTCACTCCTTAAAGGTCCCTTGAGGTGCCTGGGCTTTCAGCATTAGAGATTCACTCCTTTAGTGAGGATTGCAACCTCAAAACAAAATACCCTTCTAGGATCACCGTGAGCAAGACCCTCTGCTTCTCTGAGCCTCCGTGCCCTCATTTCAGAATGCTCATCTTTCATCACCTCTGGACCCTGGGCTCTTGCAGAGGGTAGCCAGGTGTGTGTGAAAACACTCAGAGGGCAACTCACCTGCATGTTGCCCCCTCGGGAAACAGACTTGCACTCCCAAGTCTCCCTGGAGCCTAAGCCTCTGCAGACTCCCCTGGGATGCCCTTTACAGGGGCCGATGAACAGAAGGGCAGCCGCTGTCTCTTGAGCTCGACCTGCTGTTAGGTACCATGGAGTCCATCGGCCTGTGGCGACCCTAGGTGCGACAGAACGCAGCACTGCACGGTCCTGCCCGAGCCCACTGATGCAGCCGCCGGGTCGATCCGTCTCCTGGAGGCCCTTCCTCTTTTGCGCTCTCCTCCCCTCTGCCATGCTCGACGTCCTTCTCCAGGGACTGGTCTCTCCCGAGCTCTAACTATAAGGCTCAAATAAACCTAGTGGTTCTCAGCTTCCGGTTGCCTGGTAGAATTGCTGGGCAAAGGAAATGGGGAACCCCCACTGCCCAGGCCATGATGCAGAACAATTCCATCAGCCGCTCTCAGTGTGCGATCTGGGAATCAGGATTTTGTGAAGGCCCCCGTAGCCTCCCGGCATCCCGTGTGTAGCTTGTGGGGAGAGCTCCTGCCCTACGTGCCTCACTTTGGTGTTTCTCATACTTTGACGGGCACCAGAAGCCCCCCAGAAAGTGGAGGAGTAGGGGCTTGCTAAATAAAACACAGATTGCCAGGCTCCTATTCCAGAGGCCTGGGATGGGGCCCTGGAGTCAGCATTTCATGCAAAAAAAAAACAACCCGGGCAATGCTGCTGGTGACCTGGGAACCCTATGGGGAGAATCCCTGTTTTCTACACTCACACTGAATTCTGACAATGGCTTCATGAGATGGGTACTACCCCCATTTTCCAGATGGGGGCACCACTCAGAGAGGCTACCTTCCTGACCCAAGTTCCCACAGCCGAGGAACCAACCCATGCCTGGCTGGCTCCTAGACCTGTGCTCCGAACCTGCCTTCCAAGTGTAGAGCCCTGGGTCCCTCCCCCTAATAAGTCACCCAGCCCTAGGGAAAAGTCTCGGGGCCCATTAGAGTTGGAAGCTGCAGCTGATGCGGAAAACAGACTCTCCCCCGCTGCTCCCCGTGCTGGTCCTGGGAGCCCCTTCACTATTAAGCCTGAGGTTGACTGGGGGGCCCTTTACCATGAAGCCTGAGGCGCCTGTAACATGACCCAACTCCCGCCTGGTGGGCATTCAAACAGTGCCTGGCAGATTGAGTGAGAGGCCAGGCCCTTAATGGTTTGTGACTGAGCCAGGTTTCCCCAGCCACGGTACCCTCAAGTTACAGCCGTGGGAAGAGAAGATTTAGCAGGGCCTCTGGGACTTCCTCATGCCTCCCCCCCTCCCCATTAAATTTTTTAAAAGCTTCGTTTTGTGGCTTGAAATAGGCCACATTGGGCATCAGACTCAGGCCAAGAGGAGGCTCCCAGGGGGCTATCCACTTCACGTCCTCGCTGAAGTGAACTTTCTAGTAAATGAGGCAGGCGGTGGCCCCTACTCCCTCGTCTCGATTTCACATGCAGCTGAGCCTGCACCTGGACCAGCGAGTGAGGGGCACCTTTGGGCTCCTGCTTCTTGCAGGTTGGCAGTTGCCAAGACAAACAGCTCCGTGCTGCAGGGACCCTTCTGCCTAATAAGGGCTCATGCCCGTTTGCAGCAAAGGCTGTACTGGCCAATTTAATTGTCATTAGCCCCTGAGTCTCTGTCACTAACTGCCATGTGGAGTCAATGAGACAGCTTGTTGGAGGAAAGTGCTGAGACGTGCCGAGGCCCTGTGTTGGAGGCAATCATTAGGGTGGCTGTTGTCATGCGTATTGGCTTGACCATGCTTCAGGATTCATTCTTTCTAAGAAGGCCTCTTTTCCTTGACACTGCTGACTGCATATTTGAGGTTCTCAGGACCCTCCAGGGTGGGCGAGGGAAAGGGGAACAGTGCTGTGTTGTCATTGCACAGGCCCTCAGCCACCACCAGCAACCTGCCACCAGGTCTACGACCAGGCAGGCTGTCACAGAAGCCCAGAGTCTGGCCGCATGCAGCTCAGGCACAGACGAGGGATGGCCTCTGTTTGCTTGAGGTGCATGCGCGCACAGACACAGACACGTGGGATGTGCTGGCATGGGGCCAGGCTCCGTGTTCACTGCCCACTCACCGCAACCCCATAGGACAGGGTAGAACTGCCCCTGTGGATTTCCACGACTATCACTCTTTGCGGTAGTCGAAAGCCTTATTTTTTTTCTCCCACAGAGCAGCTGGTGGGTTTGAACTGCGGACCTTGTGGGTTTCAGCCCAACACATAGCACACGATGTCACCAGGGCTCCTAGGAATACAGAGATGAGCAAAACGCAGTCTGTGGCCTGGAACTGCAGTCCTGGGGAGTGTAGTGGTGGCCCCGGGGGAGGCCAGAGGGGACGGAGTTCACCCAATAGAGAGGAAGGCGTTACCAAGAGAAGGTTCAGAGTTTCAGGCCTCTCCAAACCGGTTCTTGTCTGGCTCCCAAGGCAGATTCCCAGATGAGGGCCAAAATCCAGACAAGAGTCCGAGAAAAGGTTTGAACAGAAAGAGTAAGTTTAGGGAAGGAGGAAAAGAGATCCAGCAGGCCCTTAGCAAGTCTGAAAGACCTGGCAAAGCGTAAAGTCGGACCGTATGGGCTGCTCATGGCAGACCTCCCACCATAGGCTGGCTTTTGGGCAGGTCTTCTACTATAGGCTGGTCTTCCGTAATGTCCCTCCTCTTTCGAGGTATATGCATCCCAGCACCCCAGAAACTTCATGCCATGCTCTTATCTCAGACCCCAAACTCAAGAGAGTCCATTCAGTTATGATAAGGGTTGCATGCACATCCTTTCACAGCCCCACCCCCACCCCGATTTCACTTTCTCCCATATCTCCAGGTCTCTTCCATTGATAAGAGAATGTGTTGTAACCTGCTCTTCACCTTCGTGTGTGCTGAGGGATATGTAAGGAGGAAGCGTGTCTCTACCTCTCTTGTGTTAGGATCCCTGCCAGGTTCCTTCCATGATTGCCTGGTCTCCTTGGCCAGCCTCCGACCAGCTAACAAAGGGAAGGACACCCAAGCAGAGGGAACAGCATAGCAAAAGCATGAGGATGGAAGGGAAGAGAGGGAGATGGTCCTGATGCAAGCCGAGGGGTCAGAGCATAAAAGGCCTCCGTGATGGGGATGGGGAGGAGGCAGGGCAGAGCGGAAGGAGAAGCACGCTGGAAAAGAGCAGGCTGACAACACCAGCGTTCCAGGCAGCACTAGTCGCACGACTGCCTGAGGGAATGGATGAACGAAAATGTGATCCGTCCACGTAATGGATTGCCATTGACACATCACAGGGGAGAAATCACTGGCGCTTGCTGTAACATCCATGAACTTGAAAACATAATACTAAGTGGTAAAAAGCCAGACGCAAAAGCCCATGTGCAATACAATTGCACTTATACAATGGGTTCTGAATAGGTAAGACCGTGTTGTTGGTGGTAGGTATCATGAATTGGCCCTGACCCATAGCCATCCTGTGCACAACAGAGCAAAACACTGCCTGGTCCTGCACCATCCGCACCGTCGTTATGTTTGAACCCACTGTTGCAGCCACTGGGTCCGTCTGTCTCATGGAGGGGCTTCCTCTCTGTTGCTGCCCTTCTACTTCACCGCACACGATGTCCCTTCCCTTCCAGACACTGACCGCTCCTGATAATATGTTCAAAGTATGTGAGACGATGGCTCACCATCTAAGCATCCAAGGAGCATTCTGACGATGCTTCTTCCAAGACAGATTTGGGGTATTTTTCTTAAATATTCTTTGCCAGTGCTTCCCGTGTTTTTTTGCCAGCACCATAATTCAAATGCATTGACTCTTCTCCGGTCTTCCTCATCCAGTGTCCATCTCTCACACACATATGAGGCCATTGAAAAGACCATGACTCCAGTCAGGAGCACCTGAGGACTCGAAAAGTGGCATCCTTGTTTGTCAAAACCTTAAAGGAGTCTCCAGTGAGATACATCGTTTGATTTCTGAACCGCTGCTTCCACAACCATTAATTATGGATCCAAACAAGGCAACCCCTCTGATAACTTCAAGTATTACAAACATACTGAAAGCCACTGAACTGTATACTTTCAATGAGTGGGTTTTATGATTTGCAAAAGTACATCTCAATAAAGCTGTAAAACTTAATTATTTCAAACACAAAGGAGCTTGAGCACAACAGCTCATGAATGCTCTGGATGAGCAAGTGATAGCAAGGGGCAGAAACACTCCTTGAGTGTTCAGCTGCAGAGAAAAGTGAGATCTATTGGAGCACTTACTGTGCAGCAGAACTTGCTAAGCCCGGAGCTGCAAGACCCCAACTCGTGTACTTCAGACATGTTGTCCAGAGAGACCAGTCCTGAAAAAGGACATCGTGCTTGGTAAAGTAGAATGAAGCCAAATGCCCTGCCACGAGTCGATGCTGACTCATAGCGACCCTACAGGATAGGTTAGACCCGCCCTGTGAATTTCCAAGACTGTCGCTCTTTATGGGAGTAGAAAGCCCCATCTTGCTGGTACAGTGCATCTGGTGGTTTTGAACCGCTACTCCGGGAGTGTTGCAGCCTCATGCACAACCACGATGCCACCAGGGCGCCTGGTAAACTAGAGGGGCAGTGAAAAAGAGATGGATTGGCACGGTGACTGACAGTGGACTCAACCATAGCAACTGTGAGAATGGTGCGGGCCCGGGCACCATCCTTTAATTGTACAGAGAGCCTCCTCCCCGACGCTTAACTCCAACAATGACTACCAGCCAAGCCTGTTAGAAACCTAACTGATGTTTTGAAAACGGTGATGGCAACATAGGTGCAAATGTGTTTGATAGAATTGATATATGGATTGTTACAAGAGCTGCAAGAGCCCCCAACAAAATGGTTGATTAATTTAAAAAAGAAAGAAACCAAGCGCACTGCTGTGGAGTTGATTCCAACTCAAGGTGACCATGTGGGACAGAGCAGAAACTGCCCCATCAGGCTTCACGGGCTCTTGATGGAAGCAGACTGCCGTCTCTTTCACCTGCGTAGCACCTAATAGGTTCAAACTGCTGACCTTTGAGCTAGCAGCTGAGTGCTTTAACCTCAGTGCCACGAGGACTCCAAGCCTGTTTGATGCCTCACTTAGTCGTCATCACAAGCCAGTCAGGTAGATGATATTCTTCCCACTTTACAGATGATAAAACTGAGGCATGGGCATTTAACTTAGCTCGGGTCACCTAGCTGGTAAGTGACAAGAGTAGAAATGGAGGCAGCCCAACTAGAGGGCCCCTGGTCCTGTCCACTGTCCTGCGTCATGCATAGGCGATCAGGCCAGAAATGACCATGCTCAGCATCCCGGACCATCCTGAGGTGGCAGGTGCCCAAAGCTGGGATGTAACCAGTAGATACAGACTTTGCCAACACAGGTGCTGTAGAACCAGGCAGGGGAAGTAGGTGTGTCAAGCAGGCAGAGGGCAACAGGGAGTCGGGGAGACTGTGGCCAAGGAGTGTGTGTACCACCTAAACTGTTACAGTCAGTGGTATGGGCAGGGATGACGGCATGCGTCAACTTTGTCCCACCCGAGGGACACTGATGTACACCCTTCTAGAACCTGGAGGCCCAGACAGACAGAGGAAGGCATGCCAACAAAGAGCAGCCTCGCGCGGCGCCTTTCCACCACCAAGGAGACATGGAGACCTGCCTCTCCCGGTGGCTTCAGCTTGGGTCTTGTCAGGCGGTGATCAGGAACAGGTGACCCCAGGGGAGCCCAGAGTCATGCTGTGGGACTTGAGCACAAGGTATCTGGACAAGCTGGGTCACATTCCCAGGGGAATGGCCCCCTGCTGCAGGCCACGTGCACAGTAGTTCCGGACAGCCTGATAGGGCAAGAGGGCAATGCAGAATTGTGCCTCATGGGTGGGACGGGTGGGGACAGCCTTTGTGAGGAGCAGCGTTGTTTGATGTGGCCAAAGCACTGTGGCTGGAAACCACAGGGAAACGCATTTCAGCTTGCTATCAAGAAAAACCATCTGACGGAGCCAACAGTTCCAAATGGAACTTCTCTCCTGGAAGGGAGTGAGTTCTCAGTTCCTGGAGGTAATCAAACAGAAGAGAGCAACCACTTTGCAGGGAGGTTAGAGAGGGACTCAGAACTAGCCCGAGGGCCAGACGGTGGCTGGAAGGTGGTGGTACCTGTGTGGGACTGATGCTCAGCTGACCCACCTGTCCTTTCTTCCAGCTGGTCATGCAGTATCTCTACTACGGTGGCCCAGAGTCCCTTCTCATTAAAAACAACGAGATCATGGAGGTAAGGAATCCTTGTAGCACTGGCCTGTCGCGGCTCCCTTTGGGCAGGTCCATCTGTATACCTGGGTCCTCAGTGATCCACGGCGGTGTCTGAAGAGACCTGTGTTGCAGGATCATTGGGATGAAGGCTTGGGGCTCTTCCTCCCTTCAAGCTCATTGTCATTGCTGGGTGCTGTCCAGCCCACTGGACCCCATGTGACCAATAGAACTGTCCCATCAGGTTTCCCAGCCTGTCGGCTTTATAGAAGCCAACCACCAGGTCTTTTCTCCAAGAAGTTTCTTACTGGGTTTGAACTGCCAACCTCTTGGTTAGCAGCTAAGGGCGTAAGCATTGCACCACCAGGGCGCCTTGTCTGGCTTCATAAACCTAAAAAAAAAAAAAATTACAATCATAGTAAGTCTACTGCCGTTGAGCCGATTCTGACTCGTGGCAACCTGTGTATTGTCTCTCAGGCGGTACATCTTTCCCAGAGCAGACAGCCTCATCTTTCTCCCTCTGAGTGGCTTGTGGATTTGAACCACTGACCTTGCCAATCCAGCAACAAAAAAAACCTCATTGCCATTGAGTCCATTCTGACTCCTGGCGACCCTGTAGGACAGAGTAGAACTGCCCCTGTGGGTTTCCAAGACTAGATCTTCCAAGACTAGATCTTTACTTGAGCAGAAAGCCTCTTCTTTCTCCCACGGAGCAGCAGGTGGATTTGAACTGCTGACCTTGCTACTAGCAGCCCAACTCACCCTTGCTATTAGCAGCCCACCCCACCACTAGGGCTCCTCACCTTTGCCATTAGCAGTGTAGTAATTGCCCTAGTCCCTGTCAATGGGAAGAGCTTCTCATCAGAGACCTCCCGTGGAAGACTTGGATCCACAGTGTGTAAGCCCAGATCTTTCGGTAAACCCAAACCAAACCCACTGGCATCGAGTCGATGCTGACACAGCCCTGTGGGTTTCCGAGACGGTAACTGTTTACAGGAGTAGAGCCTTGCTTTTCTTAAAGGGGCTGGTGGATTTGAACTACTGACCTTACAGTTAGCGGTCCAGGGAGTAAGCAGTATGCTACCGGGGCTCCTCCACCATGGGAAGTGAGGCTTTTCCTCCCCTTCCCTATTCCACCCGCTCCTGCCCCCAGCCAGCCTCTGACAGGCTCGCTCTCTGCGTTCCAGCTTCTCTCTGCGGCCAAGTTCTTCCAGCTGGAGGCCTTGCAGCGGCACTGTGAGATTATCTGTGCCAAAAGCATCAACACGGACAACTGTGTGGACATCTACAACCACGCCAAGGTAAGGGACGCAGGCTCAGAGCAGAGGGTGGGGCGGGCTGTCAGCTGCCTCACTATGAGCTCTTCTAACCCGTAAAGACACCTCCCCAGCTGCCCTCCTCCCACAAGGAAAAGTAGGAACCCCACTCCTTCAGGAGAATCCCATGGCCTAGTGGGTTGCATGCTGGGCTGCTAGCCACAAAGCCACCGGCCGCTCCTCAGGAAAACGAGGAGGCCTTCTGCTCCCGTGAAGGCCTGAGAAACCTGCCCCTGTGCTATAGGGACAGTCTGAGGCAGATTTCACTCGATGGCAGTGAGTCTGGGCTCCTTGAGAAAGCCGAGTTGTTCTGGGACAGCGCTCCTGCAACTCCACTGTGTATCTGAATCACATTGCAAACCAGTGCCACAGGAGTGAAGGGAGCCGGCGGCGACTGCAGGCCTCACAGGCGCCAGGTGCTGCAGGCTTAGTGCACCGTGGCAGAGAAAAGGTCTCCTTCCTCTGGCTCCTGCAGCCTGGGCTGTGACTTTTACAACATCGCCTCCTTCCCAGCCCCAGCCTCAGCCTGCAGTTGGTCCAGGTCAGGGTTCTGCCCTTGGGGTGGGGGTGGGGGAGGCGATTGCCATGTGGGCTCCGTTCCTGGCAGATTGGGCTCCAGACGGAAGCTAGTTTAGTAAAAGAGGCAGGAGAGAGAGAAACCAGCCCTGACGCTGGAACTTCTTGATGGGCAGGCACATAGGTAGATGCTAGCAGCCAAGTTCCACAGGTTAAAAGGGGCCTGCCACTAGCATTGGGGACGACGAGCTCAGAGAGTGTCCCACCAATGAGGCACCTGTGTCAGGGATACACAGCTACACTTGTGACAACCAAAAATGTCACTGGGCATTTGCCGGGGGGCAGCGGGGAGGGGGGTGCAAGATTGGCCCAGAGGAGAACCATTGGCCAGATAGGTAGAATTCACTCATAGGGTCACTGTGAGAAGGTCATGGGTGTGCACTAGTGAGGCGTTGGAACCACCTCTGCTACCCGGTAAGCACTCAGGATTTGTGTCTGCTTCCACAGTGGTGCAGTGCCATCAAGAACCGGGACACGCAGTGACTTCAGACCCCACACTCGCTGCCACCGAGTCAGTGCTGACTTGTGGCCACCCTGCACGGCAGTTCTGTTTGACGCTCTAGACTGGAGCTGTGCACGCCTCCACAGGGTAGACCCGCCCCTGTGGGATCCCCAGACTCTAACTCCACGGGAAAAGAAAGACCCATCTCTCTCCCAAGGTGAACTCGAACCACTGACCTCACGGTTAGCATAAATACTTCACCACCACGGCTCCATGGGGTTACCACAGGGAGCCCTCCATTAGCACAGGCTTCTTCTGCTCGCTGCTGGGCTGGCCAGCTGGATGGGTGGGCTCTGTGGGTCCTGGCTGGGCACGGAGATTTCCGTGGAAACAACCAGCCTGACGAGGCTCACAGGTCCCTCATCCCCCAGCCCACTAGCCCGGGCTTCTTTTCAGCGTGGAGGCAGCCTCCTGGGAAGGCAGAGGAGCCCTAGAGGTGCAGCTGAGGCCAGGTCAGAATGCACAGCGCTAGGTGTGCTTCTATTGGCGGTAGCAAGTCACAAAGCCCGCCAGCTCCAACACGGGCAGGCAGGGGAGAAGTCCAGAGTCCCGTGGCCGAGGAAGGAGCCCCACCGGCGTAGTGGTTGTGCTTTGGGCTCCAATCCAAAGGTCGGCACGTGAAGACCACCGGATGCTCCCCAGGAGAAAGACCGTGCTTTCTAGTCCCGCAGACAGTTACAGTCTCAGAAACTGACGGGGGCAGTTCTACCCTGGTCTGTAGGGTCGCTATGAGCCCTCCCGGACTCGAGGGCAGTGAGTGTTTTTGAGTTACTGCCAAGGACGTCGGGGTGGAGAATCAGGGCCGGTGTTGCAGCCGTTGGGATATGTGAAGGCACCGGGTAGGTGCCTGTCAGCAACGTAACCGTCTCTTGCTCCCTCCTGCAGTTCCTCGGGGTCACAGAGCTCTCTGCTTACTGCGAAGGCTACTTTCTCAAGAACATGATGGTCCTTATTGAAAACGAAGCTTTCAAACAGCTTCTCTATGACAAAAACGGTGATGGGCCGGGCCCGGACGTGCTCCTGGACTTACAGAGGACGTTGGCCATCAGAATTCAGTCCATCCACCTGTCCTCGTCCAAAGGATCCGTTGTATGAAAGCCCAGTACAGAAGGGCGTGCCCCGAGGCCGCCCGGGTCTCCGATTGCATTAACTTCTCGTAAACACCAATTCCACCTGGCGCCTGGCTTCGGTTTAGGCCCGGCCAAGGAGCTGCCTCTACTGCCTCAGCGTCCCTAGAAGGAGCAACGTCCAGCTCCTCTGCTTCCTGCTGAGAAACCAAGGACATTTCAGCAGTCGGCGCAGCGCGACCCGAGCTTCAAGGTCTACCCCACGGCCACCAAGCCAACCCCTGGGGCCGGGGACCGCCATAGAATGGATGGATGGAGAACTCACAGTGGTTTGGGCTCCCCGGTTGGAGAACTTAGCTGTGTCTAGCCTGAGGCACGGGTTGAGACTGTTAACCCGTCATGAGGCAATCATGTGGCAAATTTTTAGGGGTGGTGGGGACTTTTTTAAATGTTCATACAATAATAATACCCAGGCCGCCTTGTAGTTTAAAAACCTTGTTTCTAAAAGCTTCACAGTTCATTATCAACGGAACGGTGGGTAGGGATCTGCGTGTTTTGTTTTGTTTTCGAGAGAAAAACACAAGAGAAACAGCATCAAGCCACAGGTCCACAGCATGTTGGCGACATGCAGGTGACGTGATATTGCCGCTCTATCCTGTACACAGCGCAGTAGTCTTACCTTAAAGACCTGTGGCCCACACCGAACTGCACCGTCCGTAGCTCTCACTAACCAGTCGTCAGTAAACAACCTGCATGCTAATAATCGTGGTTTCGGGGTTAGAATAAGACACGCCCACAGGCGGGAACATGCATTTGCATGGGCCCCGCCCCCTCTCCACCCCTTGAACTGTCTGTGCTGTGTTCTTCGCCAAGGTGTTCTCACGTCCCATCGCTCGCTTCTTGCCCCAAGCCCATGTGGCGGGACTGACATGGCGGCTGCTTTTCCTTCATTCGGAATGATCCTGGGATGCTTTTGTGGAAATGAGTTCACGTGCGATGCTAAATGGGGGAGGGCCGGGCGGGGAGGGGGGATGCACGTCTGAGAATCTTCTCTGCATCCAGAGGGGTTGGTTTTGTTTGGGGTTCGGGGTTTCTCTTGTATTCTTGGAAGATGTTCCTAGTTTGCTACTCGCCTGAGAGGATGACTATGCTAGATTATTTTCTAAAGACTCCACGTGTATGATAGGACTGACTCCTGTATCGGGACAATGTACAGTAGAGGGGTCTCTATAGCGAAGACTTCTATCAACAGGGTTTTGCTCGCTCTGCCATATATATTATTACCGGAAAGAGATGGGTCAAGTGCCACCTTAGTCGGAAGAACTTTGTGCGCTGGCTGCCTTTGTTCACGTCCCTGACTTTGAAACCTACATCCATGCAATGAAGCCTAGGAGGATCACATACACACACACATTCCCCAGGTCGGGATGGCCACCTTTCATAGATCAACCTAGTCCCTAGCATGCCTTCAGGAAGTTGTACCCAGATCCTAGTTCTTGAGGAACTGCTGTTCATCTGCCGAACTCGCTTCTGGAAAACTGACGTCCTGTCCGGTGTCCTGTGTGTCCCGTGTAACACCCCGGGGCCTCGTCGGTCTCGAGTTTTGCTCGTCCGGGATGCGGACCCCCACGGCCTCCCTTCCACCTGGCCCTTTGCAAATCCCCCAGACCTTACAACCAGATGACGCAGGAGAACGACAAACAGCGACTGCCGGCAGAGAAGTCCGTCCCGTGACAGCTACCCAGCATGTTGTCACCGCCGTGGCCTGCCTTCTCCACATCCTCAGAGAAGCCGCGTGGGCTGCTCCCTCCGCCGAGACAGACTCCCCGTGAATGCCTAACGCTGGTTCAGGACCTCCGGGCGTTCCTATGTACGGTCCCCGACGGGGCTCCTATTATGTTTGGTGTGCTTTCTCTGTCATTAAAAGAAACGATTTTCCCAAGCGGCTCAGTGTTTTCCGAGGGGGAGGGAGATCTTGGCCCAGTGGCTCTGACCCGAGAACTGGAATTCAGTGAAGAGACTGGGATGTGTGGCCCCACAGACAAAGCCAGGAGGAAGGGAAACCACGGGGCAGAGACAGGTGCCGGTCCTGTTGGCAGTGGTGCAAACAGTTGACATGCTCAGCTGCTAATGTAAAAGGTTGAAGGTTAGACGCCACCCAGAGGTGCCCAGGGGGCAAATCCTGGTGATCGAAATCCAAAAGACCAGCCATCAAAACTCCTGTGGAGCAGAGTTCTACTCGCTAGAACAGGCTCGTGGCGGCTGGGCTGGTTTGGGGGTTTGGGGTTTTTATTGTGAAGGTGAGGGTGAGGGCATCTTATTGGGGCTGGGTGAGGAACCACCCAACTTCTAATTCCACATGTGGGAGGTGCCCAAGGATTTCCTTCCCATCAACCATAAGGAATTGCAGGTGAGACTACTTGCAATTGGCCATTGGCTATTAAGTGTTACCTACTGCAGCTTGCTCACCTGCAGAGCGGGCAGGGCTGGCCATTACCCTGGGGGCTGACTGGACTCACCTCTATGGAGAAATGGAAAAAGACATGCTACCTCCACCTGGCCAGCCCCAACCAAGGACAGCGTGAGTTGGCGCTGGTAGATGACCATTGCATTTTAGGCAGAAGGCTGGGGGGACGAGAGGGGGGGAGACTCTGAAGTACATACTACCATTATGGAGGTCACAGCTGGTTCCTTCTGGCTCATAACTCAGCCCGGGCTGACCCCAGGGCCCAGGGGTCAGGAGATGAAGCCTCCTGACTCATCCACAGGGCGAGCAGGAACCTGGGGAGAGGCCGGTAGGACCTGGGACTGAGCCCACCCCGGCGTCACCGGCGGTCTGTTTCTGCTTTAAGAGAGTAGTGCTGAGTATCTGGGGCCCGAACTCTTGAGTCAGGCCAGAGGCTTGATTTATTTTGGACTCCGCAGCCCTTCTGCCTAGCCTCGGGGTGAGTATGCCCTTTGCTGTATTCCTTCTGGGAAGAAACAAGGTTGACTACCTGTTTCCCTTTAGCTAGTCTGGACAAGGTGACCTTGTCTTCGTTGGCAAGGGCCCTTAGTGCTGCTGGGTGGTGGTGGAGGTGGGTGAGGGGCTGCCTGCATGCCTGCCACAAAACTAACCACCCCACCACCACCACTACCCTTTCCAACTGGAATGAGAAGCAGGGAGTCAGATCAAGGTGAGGAACCTCCAAAGGACTATAAAGGCCCCTACTTGCCTACGTGTGTGTGCCCCCCATTATAATTGGCCTCATGCACTCGTCTGGTTGTTGAATACCTGGGTGGGGCAAACAGTTATATTCTAGAATAGCCAAGATACACACACACACAGACACCCCAAAGGCACATTGGAGGGAAGGCCTGGTGATCTTCCAGAAGATCACAGCCATTGAAATTCCAATAAAATGCAAGTCCCCTCCAAAACACATGGGGTCACCGGGTGCCGACCTGAAGACTAAGGCAACTGATCCTGCTTGGTCACTGCACACTGCAGTTGAGTTGATGCCCAAGTCATGGTGACCAATAGGATCCTGCACCATCCGCATGACTGGTGGAGGATGGGACTGTTGTGATCCAGGGAGTTTCTGTTGGTTGAAGTTTGGAGGTTGGTTGCCAGGTCTTTCTTCCTGGTTCCTCATAGTTTGGAAGCTCCAGTAAACCTGCTCAATAGTATGGCATCACACAAGCCTCCCTTGGAGGACGCGTGGTAGGTGTTCATGAGGTGCATTGGCTGGAAAGTCCACTGGAGTCAGGGGAGAAGTCTACCACCCAACCCCTCAATGTCTTCTCAGAAGAATGAGAGTCCACCATCTAAAATCAAGGGTGTGGGTGCCATCATAGTGGGACTGAAGGAAATGGCGCAGGGCCACATCGGAGCTCTGGATACACAGAGGAGGAGAATCTAGCTCCACACCAGCCTGTGGTCAATTCCTACAAGGCAGAGGTCAGCAGTGACTCCAACCATCATCCTTCTTTATCCTGTTCAAACACCACCTCCCACCCCCATGGCACTGTACATGTCTGCTGGTTTTGATAATCCATTACAATGACCACATAGAACTCACAGACGGTGCTTACAAGGATGGTGATTTATTAGAGGTGAACAGGTTGCCACAAATGGGAATCAGTCATTTTGACCACAGCAGCACTTCTTTTCAACCATGCCAGCAGCCACGTCTCTCTCTCTTCTCCTTGGCTTCTCGGCCATGTGACCCTGGGACTTCTGCCCCGCTCAGGCAAGTGTTACAAAGCTCCTTGAACACTGATAGATGCCCAAAGGCCAGCCCACTATGCAAGCCAGCCTGCTTCCCAAAGGCATTGGGCTTTAGTTGTTCCATGAGCCAGGAAACCCACTGCTCTGTCTCATGGTCTTGATGCTGCAGCCTCTCGGGTTTCTGCCGCCTCCACCATTTCTGACAGGGATCTCGCACACACTCCATGGGTGTCTTTTCTTTCTTGAAGGTTATGGGACTCCCTGTTCCTGCTTCTGAAACGACTCACTTTTATATCCTGCAGAATAGCAACACTGACCAATCCTGAAGAAGTCTCTGCACCTTATTTGCATGCTTCCACCCAGTGAGTAGTGGGAGCTTTGACTAAGGACAGGAGAGCCATAGCAAATAATTCCACTTTACCACCAGGGCCCAGGCAGAAACCAGAAGAATTGCAGTTCCTCGTGGTGGGAGTGGGTGGGGGGAGGGTTGTGCAGAGTGGTCGTAAGGCCCTCTCCACCCTGAGAGTCTGGAATTTTGTGATTCTCGTCTCATAGTTCACCTTCTTTTTCCCTGTAAAGCCCCGGGCAAAAAGCACTGCTCTGCCAAGTGTTGTTTTATCCAGTATTGTACCCAGTATTGTCTTAGCAAGATGCTTTTATCACACAGCTTTCTTTGGGGGGAGGGGAGGAAGAGCTTTCATATCTGTTGAACATGCACAAAGGCACACACCCATGGAACAATTCAATTTAGTGTATGGTCGTGTGGCATGCTTCCAAATCAGCCCCCCACGATCTTAAACTCACCACTCTGTCCAACGTTTGGAGTTGCCTTTGTCAATTTCACCTCCCATAGATAATTCCTCAAAGGGGTACTATACTCAAAGCAGATGCACTTCACTAATTAACATAAGCTGGCACTTGATTCAAAGGAGACCTCAATGGTGAGTTTCCCTTTAGGGTGATGGGAAATTTGGCATCAATTAAGGGTTCAGGTTGCACAGCTGATTAAAGCTCCACACCTGAAAAATGTTGAATTGGCAAATATCATGTTATATATACACTCCCCACAAAAAAACAAAAAAAACAACCAGCAACTGTTGAAACTGAGACTGCTAATATACAACCAAACACCCCATGGGATTGTGATCTGGGAAGTTGGGGCATGGCTTCAAGAGACAACTGAATCAGTTGCTTGTTATTATTTCTAAGTACCTCTGCTCCACCTTCTAGTGTGTTGTGTAGTGAGTGGGGTCGGTAAAATGCCAGCAAGCGGCTAGCCAAGGTACAGTGATTGGTCTCTCTGCCTGGAGCAACAGAGGAAGGAGAGTGAGG